ACCTTACCCTGTTCAGGTTGTCAGAAATGCTATTCATCTCATGGATGAGTAACTTTAGATCCCCTCCATGATCATCTATCAGCTGGATGTACTTCAGAATGGCCTTGTAGAGGTTTTCAGCTTTAACATTGACAATTCTAAGATTTTATAAGAAAACTTTAGTCAAAGATTTCCATGTATCTCTAGAACTACCAAACTCTTAATCTAAGCAATTTGATTAAACAATGACTTTATTAAGTTATTTTATTTTTTACATAGACTGCAATTAATAGAACTTAAATAGAGTGGCCAACACCCCCTAACACCCTCTTGGTCAGTCAGTGTTTACTGTGAGTAAAATATTGACTGCAGATAACTCCATAGACAATCCCTTTCATAAATCCCACACAAAACCAAGGTGACAATATACCTTTCAGTTTGAGCATATTTTCTTTTTCAACTGAAATAATAAAAAATCTACTTGCTTTTCGTCTGAGCATCCTCTAAGTTGAAGATCTCTATATTCTTTCCATGCTGTGTCAACAAAACTACAATTCAGTAACCAGAAAGGTAGTAAGTAACATAATACCAGCTGAAATTGACAAGTGTACTCACGTTTAATCTCCTCATCGGGTGTAGCTGTGTCATCCTGGAAGGAGAAAAACAAATTTACTCGGTTATTCAGCTGCATCTGAAGTTAATATGGTGCAATAATAGAGTTTAATCATTACCAGGGTCTCAGCTTCCTCTATCTGTTCCTTTATCTTTTTCTCTAACTGTTTTTTCAGCTGTTCCTCCAGCTGTTCCTCCAGCTGTTTTCTTGGTGGCCTCGCAGGCAAAGGAGGAGGGGGGCATGGACTCTTCTTGTCGACCTTAAAAGAAAGTGAGCCTGGTTTTAAAACTGGATCCATTATTTCTACTTTATCCTCCATTGCATTTCAGTGTGTTATGAAATACTTTGTCCGTTAGCATAGGATCAATTCATGCATGTCTTTTTCTCCAAACAGTCTTTGCTAGACTAAATGTTCAACTGTTCCTAATGGATCATAATCACTATTTTAACACTTTTTTTTGGGCCGTTTGCTGAAAAAGAAATTAAAATGTAAATGTTTATAGATACCAATAAGCATAATCTCCACCAGCTTGAAAGATAATGTAAAGTGTTTTGATCAAGAAATCCTGATACCTTGTCTTGTTCTCCAATAATGTAAATGTAATTTGGTTCCGAATGCTGTCTTCTGACAAAAGGCCGTGGGGGCCCCTCCGAACCTCTCTGAGGAGTTGATTAAAAAAAAAGAAATAGTCACTGTGGAAGAATTTTAATAACACTTTGCTATTTTTTGTATGAGCCCTACTGTTGCATCTGAGCATAGATTTGTGTGGCATGAACCTGAGGAGATTCAGTTGGAGACTGAGGAGAGCTGCTGTCACTTCTTAGCCACTCTTCATCCACAGAGTGCCCTTGATGGTTAATCTTTCTTCTTGGAAGAGGAACAGGAGGCTTTTGCTGCAAATATAATTTCATGGCAGGGACATTTTATTTGTACAGGTAAAGTTCTACACATGTAGGTTAGGTTTAGCTGTTAAGTGCCTTTCACTGACATAAAGTCACACTAAAAAACAGAAAAAGAATGAGATGAAAGCCTGGAGGAACGAAACGGTTTTCATTTGGTTTTTCTTTCATTTTTACAGTCAGCAAAGCAGAGTGCAGTGATAATGTAAAATGATTGAAGAATGTTTGTAATGTGATTCACATCTTCTTGCACTGCACGATTAACTCTTCATGGTCCAGTTAAGTTACAATGACAATAAACTAACCCACAGAAAATAAATAATGAACCATTTGTCACAAAACCTCTTTTTGATTCTGGATTTTTTATTTTTTTTATCTAAACTGGTAGTAGACAGATTTATCAACATGCTGTATGTGTGTGTGGTAAATGTAGGTTTTTATTTTTTATTATTGTTATTTTATTGAATGCTGTGCTTGTCTTTAACCATGCACTTGTGAGCCCTGCTAACTAGTGTCTTTATTATGAATAAGGAAATCCTGACTCATTTAGTCACAGATTCTATGGCCACTCTTAATACCTATAATTAATTATTGTTATGAATTAAGATAAACATATAAAATTATGTGTCATTAAACAATGAAAGATAATCTATCTATTTAGGAGTTTACTTGTTTGCAGGTAATCAAATGCATTTATAAAGATGCTTGAAATAATAGGATCTCAGTTTGCTTTGCATATTTTATGAAATTATTTGATCAAAAACAAGTCGGAAACATGTTAAATAAACAAACAAACAAAAAACAACAACAATAAAACAAACAAAAAAAACTACAGTCTATTTTCTTAAAACATGCTCAAGATAAACCAGTCTGTGATGTTTAAGAATCTATGACCACTAAAAACAAAAATCTTGTCTAACTTGTCGAGCAGGATTTACTGTTTACCCAGTAAATCAAGATTTAAACTATCACTTGTGCAAGAAAAGTAAAACTTCTTAGAAAGTTATGTTAAATAAACAGTAATTATTTCAATATTTCAAATCATGTTTTTTTTTACAGAGACAAACAAAAACAAAGCTCAACAGCAGTTGAGTTTGGAAGGATGGTGATTTTAGATATATGTTAAGAAGAATTTCTATTTAATGCATGAATATGCATTAAACAACCTAATATACAACCTAATATAACAGAAATTACAGATTTAAAAAGCTAAGATGTCCATGAATTTTGGTCTTCCTGGCTTTAATAAGTTTTGTTTTTCACATTTTACTTTCACTATTACATATCCATCATGTTAATGATTTTTGTCTTTATTTGCAAAGCACGTGAATTGGACCAGACTTTCAGTATATTTATGAAAATCTTAAAATCATACTGACTTGATCTATAGTCCTTAAATAGTATTTTTTAATACAAAATAAAATAGATTTTGGCCAAATTCTTCCTGAATTAGCATTTATAAAAATAACAGCTAAAATCTGAATTTTACTATTGTTTATTTCTTTATTTACAGAATCCAAAACTGTCTGCACCAGGTTCAATTATAAGTGTTTATGATAAAAACTATTACACATTTAGACCAAAAGTTTTAACTTGTGCTTCATTAAGTAAAAAAAAAATTATCAATATTTATTTTCTCTAAAAGCCAGAAAAACATTTTTTTAAACAAATATTTTCTCACCTGTGACATGATGGAGCTTGCAGTATCTCGTTGATTTAAGTTTAGACTAAATGTGGCCGTTGGTTACTTATCAAGTCTAGGCATGCTCAATTTCACTTTCAAATTCAAAAGCTGAGAGGAAAGTATATCTAAATTAAGCTCCTCCTTCTTCTGTCCCAATATTTTTCCCAAAGCTCAATGGTTTTTGTCCTTCATTGCGTCGGATTTGATTAAAAAAAAGAAAAAAAAGAAAAAACGACACCCTTTTGTCAAGTGTATTTCCCCCAATCCTTAAAAACAACAGTTTTTAAAATATTGTTGAAACAGAACAATTCAGACAAGTTGCCATTGCAGCAGTACAATCCCATTTTTAAATTGTTATCTAGGTAATTGAAAAAGCATTGTTTAAACAGTTAGGTACCTTCCCAACAATGACCAGATCTTTCTAGTCAGCTTTTGGTGCTCTAAAGAGAACGGACACTTAGGTCGTTAATCTGTGCAGACTGTAAAGTAAGAACCCAGAATTAGAAATATTGGACTTGGAGTGCAGCATTCAACATTGTTCATCCATTCATCTTCTCTCGTTTAGTCCTTGTCAGGGTCGTGGTGGGGCAGGTGCCCATCTCCACCATTCTATGGCCTAGAGGTGGGGTATACTATGGACAGGTCGCAAGTCTATCACAGAGCAACGCATAGAAATAGAAAGCCGGAGTACCCGGAGAGAACCTGCGCATGCACAGGGAGATCATGCAACTCCATGCAGAAAGACCCTGAGCCGGGAGTCAAACCACTGCGTCACCGTGGAGCCCCATTCAACATTGTTCATTATGGTATATTACTGAAGCAAGGGGAGGACTGATTCTGTCTTTTTGTTATATAGTAAATATATGTAGTTTTATTCTTACTAAAGAGACCTACTGTGGAATAGGGATGTAACACTGTCATTACACAACAGGTTCAAAACGTCCTGCAAACACAAAAATGAGACTAACACTAACTTTAACTTTTAAACATTTTAATGATGCTTCATTAGACTTGTCAGTGTGTCAGCCCCCCCAGTTCTCACAGGTTTCCTGGATCAAGTCTACTCTGTATACCTACACTCATCAGGGAGGAAATGCTGCAGAGACACGTCGTTATGCAGGAGGATGAGGTGGTCCACACTCGGGTGGACCATAGCAGGAACTGCTGAAGCTTTTCTGAAGTCAACTGTGGCTGTAGAACCAAACATGGAGAGGCAGCCTTTACCCAAACTAGAAGGTTCTTACTGCTGCCAATCTCCCCACCATGTGCCTCTGCTCCAGCCTGTCAGTGCAACTCTATGGCGTTGTGTAAGCTAATCACCACCCAAAACAACATAGGTTACCATAAATATGCAGATGCCACACAACTCTATATTATAATGCTACCAGATGACTGGGAACTAAAAAAAAAGCCTTGATTAGCTGCATAGTACAAACTGATGTGTTTTTTTCAGTTGAATAAAACCAAAACTGAAGTAATTAGTGTTAGACTAAAGGAGAAGCAATCAAAGCACAAAGCTTCTATTGTTACATTTAGAAACCGCTGATCGGGTTTGGACTCTTGGTATAGTGAAGGACTGAGACTTGAACCTTCAGAGAAAAGAAAGACAACAAAGAGGACCTTTCATCATCTGAATTAACTCCACAATTGAAGGGTTAATGTCCCAAATGGATCTTGAAAAACATTTCAATACTTTTATCTATATTGGAAACTGATCCCTGCAATGATGTCTTCATAGGTCAGTCTAGAAGGAAATCTGCTTTTGATCTAGAATGCTGCTGGCCACATCCTCACTAAAACATGCAGACATCCCAAGTTTCAAAAACCAATTTCAGGGAGATTTATATGTATATCTTTTAAAAACAATACACACTCCGCTTTGTTTAAAAAATATATAAATATAAAAATATAACAGCGGATGTCTGGGGGACAGTGATTGTTATGAATGCTACATGTTATGAATGCTGGCGTACCATAAAGAATAAATTATGAACAGTTTAGTTTGTGCTTTCAAGTCGTTGCGCATAGGGAGACGTTACTTGGATATAACCTAACAGAATATCTTCAGAACAGCTCCAAATGACACAAAACTCATATGGGTGAGTAGAACATCATGTAATAACATAAAATCAAGGGCCAAAAAAAAAAAAAAAAAACGGAATTCCCCTTTAACAGTTTTTCTAGAGTTCTAAATAAAATTTTATAGAAAACAGTAGTTTTAACTTAAATCAAGTCAAAAATATGTAAAATCCCAAATTTATAAATGTATATTGACCTCATAAGAAATAATAATTTTTATTTAACCTAACTGAAAAGAAATTTCCATTCATGCAGCTCTCTCAATATATTTGAATCCCTTGCCCTGTTTTTTTATTTCATGCTTTTCTGGGCCCCCATGAAAACACGCTGGCCCCCTCCTGGCCCCCTGGTAAATTTGGTCTAGATCCGCCACTGTTCCTCCCCTTCACTAGACGTGGACATACTTTAGTATATTCTGCTGTAAAATTTGTCCTTTATTCTCGTTTTTTTACTCGAGGATTGAACTCTGCTGTTTCACAGGATTCACAGCTTTGAGTGGTGACTAGGTTATGGCGATTGCCAGAGAGTAACCCAGATACATTTTTCTGACTGATCCAATCAGCTCTCTGACAACCAGTCACCTGGAACGCTGGTTGAACAGAGCATCGCTTTGGACAGGCAGGTTTCACCAGCAACCTCCTCCTCACAACCGCACTCTCTTGTTGTCTGTGCAATTGTAGTAGTTATAATCCGCACATGATGCACAAATTATTGTACTGCCTGCACGCTCTCAGTCACATTAAAAAAAACACCACCTCCCATAGTCTAAAATCCGGGATAATTTATCCGACTCGCGGGCATCCATGAACAACTATCTATATCAGGGAGACTTCCGGAACTTCCAGGAGACTTGGGATGTCTGAACATGTCAAGTGTAGCACATTACTCTAGCTCTAAAGGTTTTACACTGGGTCCTTGCATCTCAGAGATTAGATCTGTTGTTAAAGAACCAAACAGTCTTAACATCAGCCTTTCAGAGAAGCCAGATATTCAGCTTATCTACTCTGCATCCTGAAAATAACAACCAAGCAGAAGGAATTAGCATTCAAGTCTGGTGCTCCACTAAAAGCTAAATTACTGACCCCTGAAATGTTTTAAATCAAAGTTGAAATCCCATTATTTTCAGTTGCCTTTGATGGTTCTACTTTAACTATTTACTGATAATTCCAGTATGCAGGTCAGCTTTTCTGTAATCTTTATGCTTCAGCACTGTTCCCTTTAATGTCTTTGGTTTCATCATGTGAGGCATCTTAAGTTGTGATGTTGCTGAAATATGTTCTACAAATAAACGTGACTTGCACTGCCTTGATCAGGTTAAAGGGTGCGGCCACAGAAACAGAAAATAGTGACTGCACGCCTGAGAAAAACATCTACACATTTCCTTTAGTGTTAATGTGCATAAATAGATAAAGATAAGGATGATCAACTGTAATGGTAACTGCAAAAGTGCATTAAAAGGTAATTTGACCCTGAGGGAACAGTGGGCAATATTTGTGACAGTGCCCTTGGTTATGCCAACAACCTCCCGTACAACATTGGCAGCTGCAGCAAAGCTAATGTTATGTAATGAGCTGCATTTACAATTTTCCAGGATACATTATAAAATATTTCTATAGGTTTCAGTTCATATCAATTGCTCCTGTTTGTGATTACCAAACATTTAGTTTTTAACTAAGGGATTACCCAACCGAAACTACTTCAACATACTTATATTAGAGTACTGCAGTTAAAGCTGGATTTATGTTCAGCTCCTTGCAACATATAATGCAGCAATTTAAAAATATGGAGGATATATGTATATCTAAAATAATGAAAAATATCTACTTTAGATATAGAATAACCGGTAAAGTAAAGTACTAAAGTAAAATACTAAGTGAAATCTTTGGTTACCCTGACAGCACGGCACACCCAAAACAACATCATAAAGGAGTGTACCTCTAATATCTTTCTTTTAATACAATGCATGTGCAATTAACATGCCATACTGTATAATACCTCGATAGTGAAAGCACCGCTAACAAGTTGAATGATTACATTTCTTAAAACAGGATAAGCAGAATGCTTTACTTTATTTCTTTTGTTTTGGTTTTGTTGTTATGGCTGGAGAACAAGCAAGCACATGAAAAAAATGAAAAGAATGCACGTTTCTGTGAAACAGAATTTACAGTTAAAACTTGTCATGCAAAATAATGCAAGATCTGTCTCCTGGTTGCTTTTTTTTTTTTTTTTTTACCAATTGTCTTTTAGTAAAAGGTAATTTCGTTTAATTCATTTGAAATAAAGTGCAATGATGTTGCACACAAATTGGATTAAATTTCAGATTTTGTGGAAGATGAAGGAAACAGCTGCTTCTTGTAGCTTGCTTCAAGTATTATTCTTAATACAAATAAGCAAAATCTTGATTCAAAAGTTGTAGTGGAGCTGAACTTTTGTTTCAAATCCATGGTTGTAAATGTTTGTTGTTTCATGTGAAACATTTTTTCTTGTACATAAATTAGTTTGAACAGAGAGATCTCAACATCTTAAAACCACGACAACGCAATGATGTTCAAAATATGAAAAATCAAAATGTAATTTGTTTTATTCTTTTAAGCTAAATTCATTTAGCTTTTATTAATAACCATTTTTATAAGCTTTTGATTGGCCTGATTATTTACTAAAATTGCTCTCATTTAGCAAAGTTACTCAACCCCAATAAGTGGTTTCACTTTTGCATCAAATAGCTTTCCATACTGAATAACTTCATACTTTTATGATTTGCTTCCATTAAACCCCAACAAAAAGAAAAAAAAGGTGTCATGAACAACTAGGTTTTTTTAAGATTAAGTATAATAAACCAGGATGTACTAGAAAAAAATGCTAAATCTTGTTGGACAGGATGTTCAGCATTTGTTCTATGGTCCGTTGGCCATTACAATCTATTGTTGACTAGCTGCGTAAGTTTTCTCAGAACAAATCGTACCGATTTGTTGATGAAACTGTTGAATTTAAAAATACCTAACAAACAAATAGTTTTTATTTCAAGTCCCAAGAGAATCCTAAACACAGCATAAGATGAACTGAGGAATACAGCGATGAGTGGAAAAGTGACGGAAACGTAGTTTTCCATTAATGAGCCGTTACACACTTAGCCATGAGGAACTTCATTTATCACTAATCATCATCTGTATATTAATGACAAAGATGAAATTAAACCGAGTTACTTATGTCTGTGTCTGACCTGTGGAAGCAAGAGGTCACACGCTAAGAGAACAGAATGACCACAAAGCAGGTAAGAACTGTAGAACATTAGAACCTTAATGTAACTTAAACATCAACATTTCAACAAAAGTTCATAAAATGTCCATTTGTTACACTTTCAACCAATATCTATGAATTCCAGAGTGGGTTATGAAATATGGTTTAATGAAGCTTCATCTCCAATTACCAAAAAGGAAGTATTGTAGTGGAGCTGAACTAAAAAATAAATTTGATTCACAAAACAAAAGCATGGTTTTGGAGTCTTTGTTTCCCAACTTAGTGTCATTTCTTGTCCTCTACAGTCCTGCCGAAGTATTCCTTCTGGAACTGCTGGAACTCCTCCTCTGTGAACACGGATTCGGGCTCCTTGGTCTGTTTGACGGGTTTGTCTGGGCGATCTCTTGACTGCCTCCCTTTGTTGTGGTTCAAAATCTGAGTCAATCCGAAACAGAAAACAGATCAATCACATGGGCTTGTTTATTTTGGTGAAGGAATATAAATTGTATTTTGTGTCTAAGAACAACTGAACACCAAACTACTCAGTAAGTCACTTTCTATGAAAGAACTAAGACCAAGAACCTTGCACATTGTTGGACCAGGATGTCTTCAATACTAGACTTTTGCCAGATCATATTGAAGACTTTTCTGGTAGCACCTTTACACTAGTCCCAACTCAGAGTGTTTTAGTAGAGGCTGTTTTTTTAAGCTTTTCAATTTTTCATACTTGTAAGTAAACTTCCAATGACCTAAGTTGCATTAAAAACCTGATGTCAGATGACTGATGATCTGGGGGTGGAGTTACTTGCCATAACAAACTATAAAAGCCATTATCTTGTGTGTTTTATCAGTTTATGTTTGCGTTTATGTGTGAGAAAACGACAATAGCAAGCTAGTCTTCTATAACGTTAGCTTGAAGGTACAGTCTTTTTCTGGGTGGATCATCAAAATAAGTGGTCCTCCTATTTTTCAGTCATTCTGGTGATATGTTTATATAAGGCCGTCCTACTTGCTCGTTCCCATTTTCACTTATCAGTGGTGAGTCTGACATAGTGGAAAATGTGCAAATCTTCCTTTGGAAAGTAAGCTTGTAAGCAAACAGCAACTTTTAAAGAGCGTGCACGAGTAGAAATGGGCTCGTGCACGCTCTTGCACAGGTTTAGTAGGCGTTCCCTCTCGGGAGTGCATACATGGTTCTGCATGTGCATTTTTTTTAAGTGGAGAGGGTGGGTCTTTTCAAAAATTTGCGAAAATCCTCCACTATACCTTTAATTTCAGATGTGCTTTAGTTCTGATCCCTCCATCTGATACCTTGCGGTCTCTCTTCCCCTCTATGTATCTGGTGGGCTTCATCCATCTGCCAACAGCCTTCTCTGGAATTCCTCTTTTTCATAGAGTCTGACACTTTTGTCTCTCTGTCGCTCTGATGGAGCTTGAAATCTCACCAGTTTGTAACAGGAAACTGTTTTGCCTCTTTGCTAGATGAAGTTAGCATTAGGCTGCACTGTTTCTAATCTTATTTAAGACTGAAGTGACTATGAGGCGGGTCTATTGCTGCATCTGTGGGATCTGGCTGGAGGTGAGAATAAATAAATAAAACGAGGGTCCTTTTTTACAGCAGGATCTTTATGAATAAAGAGGATCCTGCTGTAAAACCTCAACTGCTAAGGAAAGGTTTTGATCATAACTTTGAGCTTAAATCACAACAACTGGACGGCAGCAGGTGTGGAAATCCAAAAGTTCCAATAAAGTAATTCATTAAAAGGTGGCTGAATGTGCATTTGCAAATGTGACATTTTCATAGTAATTTTATATTGATGCATTATATTAATAAAACTCTTTATTTTAAATCAATAATTTCAATGTTTTTTCATTTCAAATATTTGTGTCGAAGATATTAGAGGATTTGGTCTCTCTAGCTTATAAGTGCTAGTCATGGTCTCGCAACACCGATGCTTGTGTTGAGCTCATGGAGAGAGAAAGAGTCACCTGGCCGATACAGGAGCTGCTTCGAACAGACTCTAAGGTGCTAGTTTATAAGCAAGTATATCTATCAATGGGATGAATCTGCCAAAACAATCAGATCGTTTAAGATTAATCATCAAAATAGTGAAGAATTATGGAGCACCATCAAGACAAAAGAAAGGTTTCAACTGTGTGGGATAATTTAGATCTTGCATCGTAATCTCTTTTTTTTTATATAATTTCCTTGTTGTGTCATCCTGTTCCTCTCAGTTTTCACATAATTTATCGGAATTTAAACTAATTTCCACTTGACTCTTAGTTTCCTTTTCATATTATTTTCTGTAATCAGGCAAACAAATGAGCCCCAGTTTGGACTGTCTTCACAACAGCTGTCTGTACCCTTTTCAGGTATGTTATGTTCTTGAATTTTTTTTCTGCACTCCAGCCTCATCTTTGCCATGTGAGCAACACAGCTGAAGAAAGTTGTGTCAAAAAAGCACAAATTAATATATTTCTAAATGTTTAAAAAACATTTTTTATAAAAAAAAAACTAAAACTAAAACCTAGTACACAATCATCCTTATCCACAACATGTTCACTTAAATGTTCATGTTATGATACAACTTCACATTTTTTATTGTCTGTATCTGAAAATATCAAAAATATTTTAAATGTAAATTAAGATTTAAAAGAATACAATGTATAATACAATGACTTAATCATATTAATGTACTTGGTCTTCTTATTAGTGTCGGTTGTCTGTTAACAAGGCTGCTTGTAGGGAGAATAAAAGTCCAGCAGGTGTCAGTATTGAGTGACACCGTTTCGATTCAGTTTCAATAGTTTGGCAATGAGTCAAAATGCTGAACGACGCCTCGTCTACCAGTCACTAATTCTAGTCAAAAGTCACAGCGATTTGGATCTGCTAAGTGCAATAAGTTCCAATAGTGCTTTAACATATGAAGCCAAAAACAGTATTTATACTATACATTTTTAGTGATGATTCAAAGCAAATCTTTATTTAATTTACAATTGTAATTACTGAGTTATGTGATCATTCAACACTTTATTTTTAGCATAAATCAAATGACATACCAATTAAACAGATTAAGATCACATTTAACCAATTATCTTATTTTAAGCCCAGCCAAGCCTGTTAGCTGAAAATATCACAATACTATACAATTTTCAGCAGGCCATCACAGGCTCATTTGTGTGTCTAGGATGCTATTGTGATGTCTGCAAATCACAACACTTGAGGCTGTGAGGCCTCCTTGCCATTAAAGATCCCCAAACCCTTGAAATACGACTCAAATGTAATCAAAAAAGAATTTAACAGTGATGAGCTGACACAGCCAATTCAAATCTGAAAAGACTTAGAACTAATAAAAAAAGGGGCAATATACCATTAGTAGGGCTGGGTACCGAACTTCGGTTCTTTTATGGTACCGACCGAAATGCTTCGGTTCTACAGAGTATCGAAACATGCCTCGTTTTTTGGTACCAAGTTTCGGTGATTGGCTGTAACACTTAACGTGATTGCGTCATCTAGGAAAAATACACAGGTGGTCATGCCTACAGGCAGGGTTCATGTGTATCTGTTGTGAACTGGTTGCGAGCGTCGTGGAACCCCTTTAAAATGCCCCCCAGGTCAAAAGT